CTGCTCATAAATATGATCTATCAAGTCAACATCAGAACAACTTACTGAACACACACTTACATTGACTTTACTATCTTAGAGAGACGCTAAATAGTTATTAACCTTGATGCTATTCATCCATTACCTTTAATCAGGGTTACACTTATTGTTTCTGTGCAGTTGTATTCTCTGCATCATCTCTGGATCATGATCGTTATCAATGGACTGAAAATAGATATAAATAGATTGAGTCTCTGCTCATAAATACTATCTGTCAAGTCAACATCAGAACAACGTAATGAAAGCTGCTTTGTGAGGAACACACACTTAAATTGAGTTCATGTTTTATATCTTAGTGACGCTAATTAGTAATTAACCTTGATGTTAAACTATGTTAGCACTCAACCCATTTCCTTTGATCAGGTCATTCAGGGTTAGACTTATTGTTTCTGTGCAGTTTTATCTATTCTCTGTAACTTCATCATCTCTGGATCATGATTGTTATCGATGGACTGTAAATAGATATAAATAGATTGAATCTCCGCTCTTAAATACTATCTGTACAGTCGTTTGAGGTGAAATTAGATTGATTTCGCAACATGTTACATTTAGTAATTAACCTTGATGCTTTCAATCCATTTCCTTTAATCAGGTCATTGCCAGTGAAGACGTATTGTTTCTGTGCAGTTGTATCTATTCTCTTCATCATCTCTGGATCATTATTGTTATCAATGGACATCCCAGAGTCTCCGGAGGCGCTCGATAACCTGGACAGGACAATAACCAGCCGAGTAAATATGATGGATCCATCCCTGCGACCTTAGAGAGAGAAACTGTGTTATCCTCCTCTTTATTGAGCAGAGGAAAAGGAGGCGGACGTTATTGCCATTGATCCAGGAGTCCTGAGGGTGGGACTCTCTTTCTGTTGGAGACACATCGATCCTGGCTCCGACACTAATAATTGGCCTGAGCCCATGATGAAGTCATCACAGAGAGCCCATGATGAAGTCATCACAGAGAGCCCATGATGAAGTCATCACAGAGAGCCCATGATGAAGTCGTCACAGAGAGCCCATGATGAAGTTATCACAGAGAGCCCATGATGAAGTCATCACAGAGAGCCCATGATGAAGTCATCACAGAGAGCCCATGATGAAGTCATCACAGAGAGCCCATGATGAAGTCATCACAGAGAGCCCATGATGAAGTCGTCACAGAGAGCCCATGATGAAGTCATCACAGAGAGCCCATGATGAAGTCATCACACTGCATCTTGTCAGCTGGGAAACGTTGCATAGTCACTGAGTTCTGACCGTTGTCTTAAATCTCACAGTCAATCAAAGTTTATTTATGAAGTCTAATATCACACATTCTACATTTGTCTCAGTGGGCTTTACAGTTTGTACAGAATATGAATAGGACCCCCTCTGGCCTTGGACCCTCACATCGGGGTGACTTCCCGTTTCGCCCCTTCCCAATTCGGCCCTAAATTATTCCCATCTCGCCCCGTTTAGGCCACATGAGAAATGATACTTGTTTTGCTTGGTCGTGGGTCTTAGGGTTAGACTTCATAGATCTAATGATGCATCCCATGAAGCATTGCATGAAGTCTGTTGACGAATCAGAGGCTGTTGTTGGGGCTGCACGGGACAGGGGACGACATTTGGAATAAACCTCACATCGGACAAGGAAACACCCCGAAAGAAACCCCCCAGTTAATGGAGAAACCCCCCAGTTAATGGAGAAACCCCCCAGTTAATGGAGAAACCCCCCAGTTAATGGAGAAACCCCCCAGTTAATGGAGAAACCCCCCAGTTAATGGAGAAACCCCCCAGTTAAAGAGTCTCTTTTTGTTGGAGCCACATCGATCCTACCTGGCTCTGACACTGATCAATGGCCTGATCACCCCCCCATGATGACTCCAGTGTTTAGCTCCAATCAAAGGAATGGTGGAACATCAAAGCATTTCACTTAAATACAGCTTCAGAGTCCACTGTAATTGTGAATTGTTGAATACATGAATTTGCATATCGTACGCTGGCTTCAGGGTGTGTGTGTGTGTGTGTGTGTGTGTGTGTGTGTGTGTGTGTGTGTGTTGCAGTGTGTCATAGAAACAAACATGCATCACATTAATGTGTAATTCAGCTTCAGATGGATGTAGAGGTGCAGTCTATCTGACAGAAAACCTCCTGAAATGCTTCCCCCCCCCCCCTCTGTGTGTCGGTGCTGAGGCGGTGTTTCCTGCAGGAGACCTTATCCGTTTCTCTGAGATGAGGAAATGTTTCGGTGCTCAGTTATCTCTGCTCTGTTCTGTGGAGAACACGAGCATCACTCAGCACCACGGCCAAAGGAGACAACTCAATTTCAGGGAGGGGCAGTGACTGTCTGTGTTGTGTGTGTGTGTGTGTGTGTGTGTGTGTTGTGTGTGTGTGTGTGTGTGTGTGTGTGTGTGTGGTGGTGTGTGTGTGTGGTGTGTTGTGTGTGTGTTGTGTGTTGTGTGTGTGTTGTGTGTGTGTGTGTGTGTGTGTGTGTGTGTGTGTGTGTGTGTGTGTGTGTGTGTGTGTGTTGTGTGTGTGTGTGTCTGTGTGTGTGTGTGTGTGTGTGTGTGTGTGTGGTGTGTGTGTGTGGGTGTGTGTGTGTGTGTGTGTGTGTGTAGTGTGTGTGTGTGTGGTGTGTGTGTGTGTGTGTGCTGTGTGTGTGTGTGTGTGTGTGTGTGTGTGTGTGTGTGTGTGATGTGTGTGTGTGTGTGTGTGTGTGTGTGGTGTGTGTGTGTGTGTGTGTGTGTGTGTGGTGTGTGTGTGTAGTGTGTGTGTGTGTGTGATGTGTGTGTGTGTGTGTGTGTGGGTGTGTGTGTGTGTGTGTGTGTGTGTGTGTGTGTGTGTGTGTGTGTGTGTGTGTGTGTGTGTGTGTGTGTGTGTGTGTGTGTGTGTGTGTGTGTGTGTGGGTGTGTGTGTGTGTGTGTGTGTGTGTGTGTGTGTGTGTGTGTGTGTGTGTGTGTGTGTGTGTGTGGAGACAGACCCCTACAAAGCTAATCCTTTTTAAATGTAGTTTGTCACGTCGATCAGCAGAACACGTTTTCTCAGTTTTTCTCAAAATGTGTTAATTATTATTTTCTTAACTGATGAGATTTTTCACAGTTTTTTCTGTGTTTGTTACGATTATCCTAAAAAAATAACAATAGTAACAATAACTGTTTGTTTTTACATCAACATGTTTACAGTTTTTTCTAGAGCATGTACATTAAAACACAATGATGGCCTTTCTGCACATTGTGAAACACCATGTGATGGTTCAGTGAGTGTGTCTGTGTGGTGTGTCACATATGGTGTGTTTGGCCTACATGCAGAGAGGGTGATAACAATAATTGATAAGCTGTTGCTCAGACACCAGAGGGGGGGGGGGGGGGAGGAGCAGATATTATACTAACTGTAGAGAGAGAGGATGCTGCACACAGAGAGATTTATAGTATACAGATACTGAGAGTACACACAGTACACACAGTACATGTTAAGGGTTGTTGCACACCATGAACACACTCTTTTATTCTCCCCATTACCTTAGAGAAATGTGTGTCTCTCATACGGGAGATGTGTGCAGAGAAGCCAGAGGAGTAAACTGTACTGCATGCACACAGTGATAAATGCATTTTAACCTCCTGCATATCATCACTTTTGGATGCGTTTGCAATGGTAACAAATGTTAAAAAAAAACTGCACATTTGAGCACATAACGTGTAACTCTGCAGGGATATCTCAACCCTTATCACCATCACATTTATATCAGATTAGATATCACAAAGAAAGGAACAACATTGCCTTTATTGGAGATTGTAAACACAAGATATCCACTGGGGAAATCGCAAACAACTTGTTTTTTAAATTAGAGGGAATCTTTCGCATAAGTCCATTTTGTATTTGTGCTCGAAAGCTGCCTCTATGGTGATCAGAGGAAACACTGACGCTTTTAAGCTCAGGAGGAAAAATACATGTAAAATGACATAGTAGAAAGATATAGTTTGAGTACTGTGGCGCTGATCTTGTTTCCAAGATGTATCAATTCTCTGGAGAACATGAAAACCAAGCTGTCTCTGCCGTCTGACGCTCTGCTTGATTCTCAGATTTCTGCAGTAATTATACCGTTTTTTGAGGAACAGAAATATTGTTTTCTGGCATCACTTTAACATTTTACGGGGAAAATCTGCATTGAATTTCCCTCGTCTGCCTCATCTGTCCTCAAAGCATTCCTGGTTTGTTTTTAGTTTTAGTTCGCTGCTTTTCCCTTTGTTGATCCTGCTCGTTAAAGTGTTTGTTTGGAACAGCTTTTATTTAATAAAGCTCTTTGTTTACGCCTTTAAACCCCAAGTCTTTTCATTCTGCATGTGGGTCCTGATTACCGTCTCCTGACAGTTACAGAAAATGTTGCTGAAAATGTAATAGTGTAGTATGTAGTAAGTCAAAATGTTGAAAAAAGTCACATAAATATTGTCAAATGTCCAGTATGTCACACAAAATCAGTGAAATGTCATACTTTAATATGTCAGGAAATATCATACAAATAATGGCTTTTTTTAATGTCAAACTATTTCAAAAATGATCCTTAAATATGAAACTACGTCACCAAAATACAAAGAATTGTCATGGTATAGTAATACAGTAGAATAGTAGACAATACTGCTTTCTGCCAACAATCCATTTTAATAAATAACACCAACGTGTTGTTCAGAAATATTGAATATAAGAACTCTGACCAAAAGTTATTATTTAAAAACACTGCCTGTTGATTAAGTTTTAATTAATCTATTGAGTTTAAACTGGATGAAAAGTGTCAGGGGAACCTCTGTGTTTTAAATATTGGAAGTTATTATTGAACCAATTACACAGCTGAAGGCTTTCCACAGGTTTCAAATCACTGACCTTGGTAAATATTAAAAGTTTCTGGATCTCCCAAGATATTTCTAATCCTCAGTAACCCCCAAAATATCATTAATTACAGAAAAAATACACCGGACAAAAAAGTTAGAAAAAGGGCAATTTTATTTAAAGCACTTACATATAAAAATATGATCGATTTGAGTCACCAATAATAAATAGAGTGCCTGACGTTCCCCAGGCCTGTCGGTACAATCAGTACAATCAATATAATCAATATCCAGTTTCACAATACAGCAAAGGCACTAGCATCAACCACAATCAACAACAAGTCAATGAGGGGGGTCACACACACCTTCACTCCCGCCTTCTTCGGTGGAAATGATACCAGACCCTTCTCCACTTGCCTTTTGTCCAAATGCTCGTGGAAAACAACAAAATAACCAGACAATGTGATGGAAATAAAAATATCTAAATCAAAGTGAGAATGAAAGATTGGCAACTTTTCATTTATTTGAGCTAAAAAAGTCAAGTTAAGGACCTTAGAACATTTGGATTATCCTCTGGGGAGCCTGAATATGCACTGAAATGTTCAAATGTTTTAAAAGAAGTGAGGCCTCAAACTTGTATTTATTGGAGTTAAACAAGGTGCATTTGAGGACCCTAAAAATGTGGGATCATCCTCTGGAGAGCTTGATTACAAACTGAAAAGAGGCCCCACAGATTTAACTACTTGAGATAAAAAAGTTAATTGAAGGACCTTAGAACATTTGGATTATCCCCTGGGGAGCTTGAATATACACTGAAATGTTCAAATGTTTTAAAAGAAGTGAGGCATCAAACTTGTATTTATTGGAGTTAAACAAGGTGCATTTGAGGACCCTAAAAATGTGGGATCAAGAGGCCCCACAGATTTAACTACTATAAAAAAGTTAATTGAAGGACCTTAGAACATTTGGATTACCCTGTGGGGAGCCTGAACATACTCTGAAATGTTTAAATACGGACAATAACTTCAAAGTAAATGGAAGTGAGAATTGAGGACCCACATTTTCATTTATTTGAGCTAAAAAAAGTCAAGTTTAGGACCTTAACACATTTGGAATATCCTCTGGGGAGCTTGAATTTGCACTGGAATGTTTCAATGTTTCCAATAATTACAATATGAATAGAAGTGAGGCCTCAAACTTCTATTTATTTGAGTTAAAAAAGGTACATTTGAGGACCCTAAACATGTGGGATCATCCTCTGGGGAGCTTGACTAAACACCGAAATGTTTAAATACGGCCAATAACTTAAATATAGATGACATTTAGAAGAGAGGCCCCACATATTTAACTATTTAAGCTAAAAGTTAAGAACATTTGGATTATCCTCTGGGGAGATTGAATATACATTGAAATGTTTAAATATCAATAATAACCTTTATATAACATATTTGTACTAGTTTTCAGGGGCCAATGTTTTGGTTAATCAAGTTGTAATCTCACAGCAGCTCTAGACAAAAGGGAGATTCACCAAAATGATCAAATCAATGGTGGCTCAGATGATAACGTTCAGATAACTCCACAAAAAGACAAAAAGAAATACATTACTTTAAAAACTATGAAATTATGAGGATTAAAGTCCAACTGAAATTAGATTTTCGTTTTCTTTCAACTCCTTTGTTTTCTAATTAACACTAAAAGTAATTATATAAATTCAAAGATGTATTTAAATGCAGTTTTCAGCATTTATTACCCAATATCTTTTGTTTTGTTGACTGACAAAACAAACTATTTAAAGCTTGGTATTTGGGAAACTGGGATGAACGTTTACCACCTGTTTCTGAAATGTTAGAAATCAAACTATTTATGGATTATATAATCTGCAGATTAATCATTTAAAGAAATAGCGTCGATTAAAACGTTGTTCCAATTAACCAATTACTGTTACCAAACTATTCATAGAAAAAGTTGAATAGCATTTTGCATTTAAACTGCAGCTAACGTTCATCAGAGTATTATTTCAACTTAATTTAAGAGTTTTATAGTAGGTATATCATTATAATTATAAAATGGTTATAGTTGTTTATCCTTGGCTTGTAATCTACTGATATACAACATACTAATGATTGGCATTTTTATACTAGTTTGGAGGCTAAATAAGCGTTTTTGTAAATAAAAAACTACTTTTGATTATCTGAGTTTTCCATTTCAGTTGGACTTGGACAAAATAAAAGAATATCAGTAGATGGCGCACATTTATCCAGTGATTCAGACACATTAAAGCTGCAACAGAATACAGTTAAATAAAGCTTCTGCTCCTTATCCGGGTGTAATTCAGAGCTAATAGAGCTGGTCCCAAACAGTAAAGATATATATAGTTTTATCTTTAATAGATATTTACTGCTTTCAGGCGGAGGGATGGTTCATGGAAAGAAAATATGAAAAATCACTTTCTTTTTATGTGAGGACACGTAGTGCAACTCTTTACATGCAAGCAAAGCGAGGAGGACGTTGACAACAATCAGCAGTAAACACACACACACACACACACACACACACACACACACACACACACACACACACACACACACACACACACACACACACACACACACTCATTCCTGAAGCTCACAGAGATTATTCACCCGGGACAAAAATGCATTTTCTTTCAAAAAGGAGGTCAGAAATTATAAACGAAGGAAAAAAATAAGTTTGTAAAGTCGTAATCAAAACATTGTTAATGCCAATGTTTGTTATCATTGGTTTTGATTTACACTTGAGAGAGAACAGAAATATTAAATATGTCAGTAAATACCATGGAGAGTGATAAGGCTTATCTCCACTTCGACTGGCCCTTAGAAACGTCGTCTTCCCCCTTAAATCTTCCCGACATCCGGACAGAAAAAGCCCTGATTGTCAGAACAAGTTGTACCAATTATTCCCGGCGTTAAAGCTAGTCCGTCTTCTTCTTCTCAGTCCTTTTGTGAACGACAATCCTTCCCGTTATCTCTTCGACTGGAGAATGAATGCACAGGAGCCCGAGATTGTCCACAAAGGGCTGTAAAGCTTTACCGTCTTTTTAACCGTCTTTGTTAGCGTCCTCGCAGCTAACGGTTTCCGCGGCGGCGCAGCGTTAGCACGTGTCAGACGGACTCGCGGTTTTTGACGTCTTTTTTCCGTCTCTCTAGATGTTTCTCTGAGCCGTGAGGTACTTCAGCGCCGCCGAGCCGTATTTCCTGGACAGATCCTGGTGAAACTCTTCCTTCAGCGTGTTCAGGCAGTTGCGGTAACTCGAGCTGGAGCGAAACTTTGAGATGTCGAAGCTCGGAGCGTGCGGCATGTGGATCATGAAGGCGTTCGGCAGCACCATCAGTTCGTACTCCTGAGAAAACAGAAGGGAATTATGAAACATGGGTTAGGTTTTTTTTTTTTTTACAGGATGAGTGGGGGAAAAAAGACATTCAAGATTTCATGACACCAAGAAATTAATTGGCAACAAAATTCGACTTAAAGGTGGGGTAGGTAAGTTTGAGAAACCGGCTCGAGATACTCTTAACATCCCGATAGCAATGAATATCTTAAGTGCTTTGAAATAAAATCCATAAAAAATGTCATCTGTGGAAGCCGTAGTACTGTAAAAAGCACGACCAATCATTTCAGCCGGGCCGGCTAAAATAACTGGATGGCCTACCTGCCTGTCAGCCTTCCATCTGGGCACAAACTTATCTCGTGCCCTCATTGGTCATGTGCGCGTTCGTGTGTGTTGGAGGAGGGGCTCTGTAAGGAAGTGGAAGATTTCTTCCGGCTGTGTATTTTCAAATTCTAGCGATCTCGAGCTGGTTTCTCCAAAATTACCTACCCCACCTTTAAATGAGTAAAGACTAAAGGGAACAGCAGAAGAAGACAGAAAACACATTCAAACCAACCAACCAAGTTATTCCAGAACACTTCTTGTTATGGACGATGTTTTAAACTAGAGCTAGAGTTGGCCCCAATCAGCAAGTATATCTTTAACATTATTGGATTTTTACAGATGGATAAATAAGGAAAGAAAACTGAAGAATTGACTTATTTTCGTACCTGTGCGTCCAGCTCCAGGACGTGCGACACCTTGTTCCAGCCGAAGCCCACGAAGCGCTGGTCGTATTCTGGACAGTCCTTCCTCACCACCACGTACGGCTCGAAGTCCGCCTCCCACTCCACTCGGTACGGCGTGGTGGCCGTCCGCCATTTGGCGTAATCTGTCGGAGCGTGACCTTTGGGCCACACGTGATACCTGGAGCAGAGGGAAATCAGTAAGTTATTCAACTGTACCTCTGCCACATCATAAGACACTATGCATTACATTAATGCACACAAAATGTACAACAATATCTGTTTTATTTTTTTTATTACTGACGATTTTTATTCCATATTTTATTCCATTTTATTCCATTCCATTTCTATGTAAATACTGTTATATTTTACTATATTTTTTGTTTATTATTTATATTTTTCTAGTTCTTTAAGTAAAATTCCTCGTATGTGTCAACCTACCTGGTAATAAACCTGATTCTGATTCTGTAACCACTGGCTGACTTTTAGTTTCTCTCTGCTGATTTGATGCTGATTTGATCGTGTTTTTAGTACCTGAAGGTGTAGAGAGTCCCCATGTCCAGCATGGAGAGCAGCTCAGCTTTGGATTTGGGGAAAGAGAGACGGTACCGGAGCGTCTCGAAGGCCGGGACCACCAGAGCCTTCTTAGTGTGAGCCATGTCCATCTGCACCACCGAGCGCCTGCAGAAACACAGGGTTACTACAACAGATCCAGAACCAGGACTGAACCAGGACTGAAACCAGAACCAGGACTGAACCAGGACTGAAACCAGAACCAGGACTGAACCAAGTTTCATACTTGTTATGCAATTTAGACGGAAGGGAATTTTTCTCATTATGTTAGATAGATAGAACAGGACAACAATCGGGGACTAAATGATCAATAATGCCTCCTTATATTTAAGGAATCTTAAAGTACTTCTACTTTTACTCAAGTACAAGATCTGAATACTTATTCCACCTCTGCTGTTACATTTATAGATTTTTCAGATTCATCATATCCATTTAGGAAATGCTGTTATACTTTAAACTACCCAACAGTTAAGCAAAACCTGCAGGAAACAGGAAACGCATATTATTGAACATTTCTCGTTTTGGACCATGTTTTAAACTCCTTACATAACCCCAGACAAAAGGACTTGTATTAATTCATAATACAAATCCAAAATCAGAGCCAAAATATGAATAATATATATTCATTTCTGTCAGTGGAGGGTACATATTCTGAACTCTTTCCTCTGGAAAATGAATGTAAAGTATTTATCAGGAGGAAAAAACCAACCGTGTGAAATGAATATCAAGTTGGGCAAACATCCATCGAGGTTTTTCTACAATCCCTGAAATATCTTTCTAACAAAGTAACACACTCCTGAAACCTCTCGAGCATCAAACCCACAGTTTATCGATCTTTCTTCAGTAACCAACGGTACTTTAATGTAGCTTCTGGTCGTACCTGAGGTATTCGTAGAGTCCGTACATGGGCAGGAAGTCAACGTCTGTGAGGAAGACGTAGGGCGTGTTGGCGTTCCTCAGAGCGACGTTCCTCACCAGGTTGACGGGGTAGAACTGGCCCTCTTTGTACACGATGTGGTACCCAACGTTCTTCCGGTTCTTCAGGACCTCGGAGGCCTGAGCGTATCGAAGGAACTGCTGCGCCTCGGCGTCCGACATGTAGAGCGCCAGGCTGATGGGCCCCTCCCAGTGCTTACAGATGGCCTCCAGCATCTGCAGCCTGCACACAAACACACGGTTATCCAGGGACACAAACCTGAACACAGTCTGGTCCTGGTCTTACCCAGGTCATTTACAATTTATTCTTTCTAGGCAGCATCTTAAGCAACGGTTTCAGGGTTTGAGATGCAAGAGAAGCACAATCTCTGAGCTCTTTGACTCTTCGAGGCATCATAAAGAACCCAGGTCATCCAGGGAAATAAACCTGATCTTATCCTGGTCTTACCCAAGTCATTTACAATTGAATTGGTCTTTGCTGCATCTGTTAAACACCTGAACTAGAACATCCATAACATTCACCTGTTGGCAACATACAAATTATTTATCTAATATATCATATTCCAATTACTTGTATATAGACTCTGATTGCACTATTTCTATTCTATTTTATTTGTTTTTATTTGTATTTACTTGCACTATTTGATCTGTTTATCTGTTTTATTGTGTTGCACTGTTGACCTAAGATATTCATTTACATAACTACACTGTAGCTATGCACGAATGACAATAAAAGCCTTGAATCTTGAACCTTGATCTTAGGCAACGGTGTCAGGGTTAGAGATGCAGAGATTGCAGGCGTCATAAAGAACCCGGGTTATCCAGGGAAACAAACCTGATCTTAATTACTAATTAACAATAATAAAATATAAAGCAAGTTATTATATATATACACACACAATAACTGTAGTTCTGGTACCTGTCCATGGAGAGCTGAGCCACCAGCGTGATGTCGGTGTCGTCCTCTGTAGGTGAGTACTCGTACTGCAGGAAGTACAGGTGAACTCTGTGCACGGTGAGGCGCTCCCGCCGGAAATCATAGCACTGATCGTCCTCGTCGAGATCCTCCAGAGCCGCCTGCAGCTGAGGAGAAACCACACAACACAGGGTCAGAGGAAGGGTGTAGACAACTTAAAGGTCTCCTATTATACTATTTTTAGGCATATATTATAGGTCTCAGATATATACAAATATATTAAAAACATGTCTATGAAGTGTTTTGCTCAAAATACCAAACAGATCACCCATTCTAGCCTCATACCCCTCTATTTCAGCCTGTTACTAAAGTGCTGATTCTGGGTCTAAAGCTGCCGTGATTAAACTCCATATCATGTTCAAAGCCACTTCAAGGATCATTTCTGAAACAGCATGGAGCTCAAACGCTTTCTCTCTCTCAGGTTTACCACAAGGTGAGTTCCTTTTTATTTCCAGCTTCTTTACACATGCTCTCTCCAGTACAGGTTAGCTCTGAGTGTTAGCGATGCTTGCTAATGTAAACAAAGACCATATGACTTCCAGAACACGTCGCTCATTGTTTTTGATACAGCAACGTTTCTGATAGGACCGTGGGTCTAAAGCCCGCCCACATTTCTGATATTACGTCATATCGGACGCAAATCTGGATCAGCTCCATTGTTCCTCCGTTTTTAGAGATGTGGGTACGGAGGAAAAGTGAGAAGGTTTTATTTTCTGACACTTTGTGAGTCTTCTGACACCGGGGACACATATTTACGTATAAAAGACATCAAAAAGTGCATTTTGTATGATAGGAGACCTTTAAGATGTTGTGTGTTGATTTTAAGAAAAAGTCAAAATGTGGAGGTTTTCAGATAAATTCAGCATTTCTGAAAAAGTCAGAATTTGGAGAAAGAAGTAATTATGAGACTTGCAGAAAAAAATCTGAATTTTTCTGAAAGTCAGGACTTTGAGAAAATAAATCCGAAATGTTTTATTTCAAGAAAGATCCAAAATTCTGAGGTTTTCTGAAAAGGCCGTAATTTAGAGATTTTCTTGAAAATTCATCATTTTAGGAAAACTCAGCAATTTGGGAGTAATTATGAGATTTGCAGAAAAAAGTCAGAAAAAGTGTGTACCTTCACGCTCTCGGGGCTCGCCTGGCTCGGGCAGCCGAACAGTTCTCGTCTCAGCAGGTTCCCGTCGTACTCCAGGAAAGTGAGGTAGAGATTCCTGAAGAACTCCACATGTTTGTTCTTCACTCGCAGCTTCTTCGGAGAGTTCCAGTGGATCACCTGAATACACACACACACTTTTACTACACACACCAACACTGTTGCTACCAGAGATGGCAAAAATACACACATCCTTTACTCAAGTAGAAGTAAAGATACTCGTGTTTAAAAATACTCTGGTAAAAGTAGAAGTACTGACTAAACTTCTTTACTCAAGTAAAAGTAAAGAAGTACTTTGAAATGTACTTCAGTAAAAAGTACCGATAACTACCATCTGTTTTAACCAGTTGAGCCCTGAGCCTGTTTTTCAGGCCTCAGGCTCGAAAAGGACATTCCCAGAACAAATGACTATATCTTCACTTCTAAAAGGGTTAAATTAATAATCTTGTTTCTCAAAGCAAGGTTACATCTGTGAGTTGGATGTAGAAAAGTCAGAATCAATATAGATGTTTTTATTTTAAAGTAAATTCAGATTGAACATAGTAAAACAAATTAAATTATAGTGTCCGTCCAAAAAAAAAACATTACTTATAGGATAGGAGACTAAAAGCTTTAGGAATCCAAACTATAACAAAATAAGTACCCTGTATCAAGATTGATGCAAAACAAGTTACATTTGACCTTTTTAGAGAGATTTAGAAAAAGAAACCACTTCTGGGGTCATTTGGGTGGATTTTCCATATCTCTGACCCCCTTGGTCGATTTTGATGATTGACACCTCTTTTTAACCGTCAGAGCCAATAGAATCGAGGGGAAGTTCCTAAAATCCACACTCTCGTAGCAGCTAATATGAAATCTCCGTTATTGACATAAAAATGGAAGGATGGATTATCAGTAATCATTTCAAAGTGACAGACACATTGGATTAACCTTCAGCAGCGTTTTTATCGTTTTGATGCCATTGAACACAACTTTTGATCAGAACAACAGCATAGTTAAGAATTTCTCCCGTGTTTGCTCCGTAATGCTACGTGGTGTGATGTCTGGTTTTGCTACCCATGTCGCGAGTTCTGATCGCTCAGTGATTATAATAATACCTATAGAATCTGTGGAATCTCAGTTTGCTAATCGATATCTTGTTTGTGCAAATCCGATAAGTAATAAGGGTATTTTACCGTGAGTTCTGTGCTAATTGCGTTAGCATTTTTTCGCTCAGGGCTAATTCAGAGCCTTTGTTTTTACTCATTTGTTTCGTTTAGCTAAACATGGTTAATATTGTCTGAAAGCATGTTTGGAAAATGTAAGAAGTAGAAAGTACAGGTATTTGGGTTCAACATGTAAGAAGTAGAAAGTACAGGTATTTGTGTTCAACATGTAAGAAGTAGAAAGTACAGGTATTTGTGTTCAACATGTAAGAAGTAGAAAGTACAGGTATTTGAGTTCAACATGTAAGAAGTAGAAAGTACAGGTATTTGAGTTCAACATGTAAGAAGTAGAAAGTACAGGTATTTGAGTTCAACATGTAAGAAGTAGAAAGTACAGGTATTTGTTTTCAACATGTAAGAAGTAGAAAGTACAGGTATTTGTGTTCAACATGTAAGAAGTAGAAAGTACAGGTATTTGTGTTCAACATGTAAGAAGTAGAAAGTACAGGTATTTGGGTTCAACATGGAAGAAGTCAAAGTAAAAAGTCGTCAGCAAAATAAGTCGTGGAGTAAAGTACTGATACCAGAAACATGCACTTACCACCTCTGTGTGTGTGTGTGTGTGTGTGTGTGTGTGTGTGTGTGTGTGTGTGTGTGTGTGTGTGTGTGTGTGTGTGTGTGTGTGTGTGTGTACCTTGAGGTCTGACACCTCTGTGTAGCACTGCTCGGAGCGAGTGTGGTCCGACAGCTGAACGTTCCAGAAACACGGCAGCTGGTGCACCAGGACGGGGTTCTGCTTTATGAAGGCGTTGAAGATGTCCTGCACACACACACACACACACAACTTTTAACACACAGTTTTAAACCACACACAGCTCTATTTATCCTGCACTTTGCTCTCATACACACACACACACACACACACACACACACACACACACACACACACACACACACACACACACACACACACACACACACACACAGCTCTTTGACTCTTGAAGGCATCATAAATAAAAATATCCTCTTTTTTGCCGGTTTCCTGGCAACCTCAGATTTTATTATATTATTATATGTATTTCACAGAGCTGTGGGATGGTTAACAAAGACAGGCCCTCTGTGCATGTCACATTGTGCATTTTGAAATACAAGGTCGCCGCTGGAGCTCAGATCAAAGAGAGAGGATGGATTCATAATGTACACTGAGAGGAAAGACATCATGGAGGACAGACAAATCATTTATTCAGCTCCTGAGTGTATATTCCTTTAAAGAACACTTTTGTATCAGTATTGACATCTTTATGTGCAGGTGATCATGTAAACACAACCCGACGTGAGAAAAGCTGATCAAACCACACTTATTGGACCCAGAAGATCTAAAGATCTGTTGTTTTTCATCAGTTAAAATATATTTCTTTCCCTCTGTGTTTTGGGCCTCTGAGGGTAAAGAACAGACTGTATGCAGACTCGCATTGTGATCAAAAGATAAACAAATCACTCATCAGGAATTAGCTGGTGTTTTACGAGTAGGTTAGACTCCAGGTTAGAGGAAATGCTAATTGTTTAATCCTGTATGTCTCATAAAGCCAAGGAAAACATCATTTCTTAAGGATAAAAACAGTAAAAAGTTTTAAATGTGAAAGCTTATTATTGACCTTAGAAATCATGGTTTGAAAAAAGGATCTCTAGGAAAGTCAAATGAGGTTTAAAGTAGAATTTAATTTTAGATTTATTTGTCAAATTTGTTTACCTTTTTAACTTAGTCTTGTCTTTTTATCTACAATGAATGTCTGCGTTTGATACAGGCAACAAACTACAGGCTTTAATGGATGCATGGGTTTATAAGAGTACAAAATAAACTGCAATGAATAAAGACTTAAACTGAGTTTCTTTATTCAACTCTATCATGCTGCTCTGTTGGAGCTGCTGTGAACATGACAATACAACCTTGAAACTGTAAAAGAACAATATTATGCTGATTTACTTACTTTAAGAATAACACTGAGTGATTATTACTTGCTCATGTTTATCTCTATTGACTGGCTTTCACGTCTTTGCTAAGCTTGGGAAAAGTCCTTATTGAGAAGATGTGTTGCAGTGTTGTTATTGAAGCTCTCTGTGCACCAACAGTATGACCTCCAACTTCTGTGAACTGAGAACATCTTCATTCTGCCTCCCTAAAACCTCCAGAATGCTCCTTTGTTACCGGCAAGCTTCACCCCACCTTTCTCCTCTCTCTCTCTCTGTGTTTAAATATGCAACCCAAACTCTACTCTTCCTCTTCCACTCTGCAGACAGGATGCTCTCCGTGTGACTGACTGAACTTCTTGCAACAATAAAATACAACAAAGACAACTGAATGGTTTGATTCACATTTGATACATAAATTCCCACCACAAAACTCAGGTGGATTCCACTTATTAAAGTAAAGGGCTTTGGATGAGAGCATCATCTACAGGTAAGTGTGCAGTTCCTCTCACCTGGTCGGCCAGAGACGTACTGAGCATGCTCATCAGCTCTCTTTCTGCCGTCAGCCTCCACATCTGCTCCCAGCCGAGCCTCCTCAGACGCTCCAGGTACAGGAGGATCACGCCTGCAGGAAATACATCACAACATGGTGTTATCTAAAGGAACCAGTGGGAGACGGTGACTCAAGGTCATGAACCAGCTGGAACTGGAAATGTGGCGTCACTTTTTAAAGTCAACTTTGAGGAAAAGTTACCGGTGTTGAATCCTCGTCCGAGTGCAGGCCAGGGTTTGTGGTTCTTCCAGAGGTTCCCCAGGTACCAATCACTCTGGTTCTCCACCAGACCAATCACCTGCTTATCTGCACACACACACACACACACACACATAATATGCACATATTGTTTAGGATAATCATAACGAAGAAAGAAAAAAGCGGTGAAAAATCTCATCATTTAAGAAAAATAAATTAACACATTTTTAAAAAACTGCGAAAACTTGTTCTGCTAATCACACACACACACACACACACACACACACACACACACACACACACACACACACACACACACACACACACACACACACACACACACACACACACTTCAGGCATGTTGGACAACCGCTCGTTGGGAATGCAAATGAAGTAAAGCTAATATAATAAATACTAAAAACACATTAACACATTTATAAAAACCGATATGACATTGTCGTTTTAAATGGCCTTCGTCTCACCGGTGTGAACTTCCTGAAGATGCCCCACAGCTCGGCGATGTCGGTGGCGAAGGTGATGTCGGTGTCGAGGACGATGACCTTGGAGAGGTCGGAGGGCAAAGCTTTGGTGAGCGTCAGCTTCATCAAGCCGTAAATACCTGAGTAATGTTTGTTGGGTATCCACGACACCTCGGACTGCAACAACAAGAGGAGAGGAAAGAAAACACATTTTGATTAACATTTTGTCATTGAAGTGACTGCCATTTTGTATATGTGTGCATATGTATACATGTGTCTGTTGATTATGTATATATAGGATATACATATTTCTATACATATTTTTATATATATTTGTATTTTTGTATTCGGGATTGTGGGAAACGGTATTTAGATCTCTCTGTCTGTACACACAAACTGAAAGGTCACAATAAAGGTGACTCTGACTTTGATTTTGATTCGTTACCTTCTTAACGTGACTGGGAGCCACAGTGTCCATTGAGAATGAGCAGAAATCAACATAGGCAGACACGGGGAAACGTGTGTGTGTGTGTCATCAATGTTTTCAGTATATTATCTAGTTTTAAAAGCAGGTCTAAAGAAGAGTTCTCAAGATGAGCTGGGGCCTCTTTAAGACACAAGATAAATCTGCAGATATAAATATGAAATCCCCAAGTTCCCATATACATTGATGTGAGAGGAGCGGCTACCCAAAAAGGGGTAAGTTATCTAAACAGTAAGACCACGTGCAGAAAAGAATATTCTGGAAAAACATGGTAGAAAAGATGTCCTCAAATTAACTAAATATAACCTCGATATGCAAATTGAAATATCAAATACTGTTCTAAAAATATCTCACCCAACTTGACACAGGATTCGAAAACATTCACCAACTTGACGACACTCAGAAATATCAAATGTATTCATTTCAAAAAGCCCCGCAAACACAAAATGCTGCACAAAGCCATCTGTTTCCAGGGGACACTAAAAAGTGCTGCACACGGCAGGGATCCAGCATTCATGATGTTATAGTGGATATTATTATAATCTGTAGATGTACTTTTTTCTGTTGTTTCGGCCCCTGAGTGTGACTTCATTGAGACGTGAAAACACGTTTTATTGTGTATTTATTTGTAGGTTTTGGAGCGGGTTTGAGTTGTTTTGCTGTAATTTTTTAAGTGGGGATGTTATATAAAACCTGTTTTTGTATACGCTATGCTTTCTTCCCTCCGCTTTCAACAGTTTTTTTGTACCCTGTGTGTATAAATTGTCTGTATTATAGTTAATAGTAGAATAAAATAATGATGTGTTTTTGCGAGTTAGTCAGCCTTAGCCTTGTTTCTGAAGCTGTTTCTCCTAATGGAAATGTTTGAGCCGTTATAAATCTGTGTAGCAAACAAAAAGCCACATTCAGCATATTTTGGCAAAAGCTCAAAGTGTGTGTTCTCTCCTCTTCTGAATCTGCAAAAAAATATATTTTAATTAATTCTCTTGATTCAGAGTAATTAGATCTGCATAAGTGCATCATCTGCAAATATAATCCTCTTACAGTCGCCTCGGTTTCTCTCCACTTTAATGTGACTTAATGAAAACTGAAGGGGGGGGGGGGGGGGCTGCAGGTCGGCTGCACAAAGGACTCATTGTTCAGCACAAACACACACACACACACTTATCCAGGCTCGTTGTTCCTTACATCCGCATCAGTCTTGAGAGCCACATTCATCAACTTGACGTTAAAATAAATGATTTGCTGTTTTTCTGCTGAAGTGTCGCTTGACTTTGGAGGAAAGTGTTTCAACAGCTCGTCCGACTCAATTACAGATTGTCGCTGTCAAGTGAAAAGCTTCCACGCACGCACCCCCCCCCCCCCCCCCCCACACACACACACACACAACAGACTAAACTATAAGCAGGGTGTGCAAATCTAAATCAAATATCCTGGTGTCTTTGCTTCACCCTTGCAGTGCATGTTGAAGCACTCAGGAGGGCTTTTAACGTGAAAAGGAATGAAGTTGAATAGAGTGGCGCAGGAATGACTCAGCATTCACTTCCTGTTCCCTCTTTAATGGTTTCCTAAATGTGTTATAGGTTGTAAGCCTGACATAAGGTCTGTGGTTAGTACAAGCTGAAGAGATTTTTATTCTACGACATAACATACGTCAGTAAATACCCCACTGGTGAATTTAAAAACGTTGGTTGCTAACAAGTGTCTAAATAAGACGACTAAACGTCATCACGCGCAACATTAGCCGCCTTTAGCTTAGCGGTGGTGACGTGAAGTCATGTGACCGTGCTGTAGTTCCTTTATAGCCCAACATTAGCCGCTTTTAGCTTAGCGGCGGTGACGGGAAGTCATGTGACCGTGCTGTAGTTCCTTTATAGCCCAACATTAGCCGCTTTTAGCTTAGCGGCGGTGACGGGAAGTCATGTGACCGTGCTGTAGTTCCTTTATAGCCCAACATTAGCCGCCTTTAGCTTAGCGGCGGTGACGTGAAGTCATGTGACCGTGCTGTAGTTCCTTTATAGCCCAACATTAGCCACCTTTAGCTTAGCGGTGCTGACAATATTAATTTCCTGCATTCAGTCGGTGTAAATGGAGATTGAACTGAGGATTGATCCTGCTCAGCTCCTGTAGCAGCAGCTAAATCACTCCTCTGATCTGATAATGTAACGTAGAGCTTTGACCTCCTGTTTCAGATTGTGCGATGCGTCTTTACGCTGCATTGATGTGTGTTTCTCTTTGATGAAGCTGCTCTGAGGTTAATCTCTTCTGTCAGATTTAGAAATACTTTCATCTCCTCACTGCTGCTTCTGGAGGTTTGATATATGACACATCGGATTTGCCTTTCACTGATCTTGTCCTTTTACCTTTGCTAAATGTTTTCCCCATTAGCATTAGCATTAGCTATTCTTCTTGGGGTCAACCTAAACCAATAACCGATCAATTAATTCCTTTGTAATTAATAACACACTTCTATTACAAATAAATAGTAAAGACGAACAAATGACCTTAAATTGTATATTTAACTTTCCAGTGCATACAGTCATTACATTCAAAGGAAGTAGGGCAACACATTTCTCTGCCAAGGGAGATGTTTACTTTACCCTTGTTTACATTTGGTTTGTCTCACCATAGTTTAAAGTGTAGACACAGACACAGTTTAATTATCCTGTGTCAAATTTGTTTTAGGTAACATGAACCGTCTTTCTATCTTGTTTGATTTGAAGTGCCAATGGTGTCTTTGGAGAACGAGTCACTCTTTTAGTCCTATCAAATTCACTGATGTGTGTGTGTGTGTGTGTGTGTGTGTGTGTGGTGTGTGTGTGTGTGTGTGTTGTGTGTGTGTGTGTGCGTGTGTGTGTGTGTGTGTGTGTGTGTGTGTGTGTGTGTGTGTGTGTGTGTGTGTGTGTGTGTGTGTGTGTGTGTGTGTGTGTGTGTGTGTGTGTGTGTGTACCTTGAGTTCGTCTGCATCGTAGAAGCTGACCTGCACCGAGGGAACCATCCAGGACTGGAACAGCGAGCTGAGGATTTGATGTGCCACCGTGTCGGTGATGAAGTGGAAGTGGAGAGGGTTTCTCCTGAGGAACAGAAAGAAAAACACACCACAAGGTCAAGAGGTGATAATGTTGTACTGACACAGCTTCTTCTTATTTACATAGCAGTTTATTGTTTCTGTACTTATATGCATTAGAAATTAAACATCAGTTTTCGTCCTCATATCAGCAGCACATTGAATATGTTTAAATATTTAAAAGCTTGCATTAAAAGGAATAAAAAGTAGAGTTTATTAAGTTAAAATCAAGAGAAGAAGGGAAAGAAATGTGGGAAATGTATCAACATATAAATCCGGAGTATTTCCTGAACAGTGAGTTTTTATTTATTTTATAAATAGGACAGCTGTCTCTTCAGTGTTACAACTAAAAAACTAAATATTAGTAGATCCTTTCTTATAGCGTTGAGAACGGTTTACTTTCATTACTAATTAAACCACATTACTTTGTTTATGATAACATGACATTAATCAGTAAAGCATGTGTCATCTAATAAAATGAATTGCTTTCAGTTTCATGTGATTGCCTCACTGAAATATTTTCATACATTTATTGGGAATTTACTTGTTTTATTCCCTTATTTTTCCACCATTACATCAACTCTAAATATTAACTGAAATACAGACAGTCCATCATTTGACACTTTTTAAATACGGGATTTGGACCTTTTATTGACAGTGTAGGAAAGGGGGAAATAAGGTGATAGAGAGGTAAGATATGACAGTGTTAAATGCATGTGAAAATACTAAAATAACTGAGTAGTCTTGTGTCTAAAGTCCAGGGCGTGAATTGAACTCGGGTCTTTGAGGTTAAATGACGTGCTCTAACCACTCTGCTCCCATTGAAAGTTATTTTTTCCGGATTGAAAGGAAATGATGCTGCCCAGGGTTCTGCAAAACCGATTTATTTTTATTTAAATGTCATCTTTTCATTTTTAGGATATTTCTATCTTTTTCTTTCTCTGGTCCCATTTAGGCAATTCCAAGGCCAGTATAAATAAAGACCTTTTGAGCTTTAAAGAGAGAGAGAAAGGAAGAAAGAAAAATAATTGAAAGGTACTTTATATATTCAGGGACGGAGGAACTACAGTTCAGCATTAAAATATTTTCGGTCAACGGGTACGGAAATGTTTTAAAGTCCTGGTCAAATGGGAGAAATTAGAGTAAAAAATATGTGTTTTTATTGTGGAGCCTAAAATCCATTGATAGCAAAGGGAGGAAGAACGACATCAACATCTTATAATGATAATAATATAAACCTTTTGTTTTATTCCATTCTAAAAACCGAGTTACTTAGGGGGAAATTAATTCATTTTTTCTTTGCATTTTAGGAAATGATATAGTGAAAAACAAAATACATTAAATAACTAGCTTATTATCCACAAATGAGAAAAAAGAAAAGGAAACAATAACAACATTGTTTCTTTTTGCAAGTAAATTTGAGGTTTAAAATGGTCAGACTTTGACCTGACTTTTTACCGGTAACAGTCCAGTAAAGTCGGTAATTTTAAAATATCGACTACTATCAAATGCAGCTAACAGAAATACCGGCTAACAGAAATACTAGCTAACAGAGATACTCGACAACAGAAATATTGCTAATGGAAATAACGACTAACAGAAATACCGGCTAACAGAAATAGCAGCTAACAGAAATAGCAGCTAACAGAAATACCAGCTAATGGAAACAACGACTAACAGAAATACCAGCTAACAGAAATACTGGCCAACATGAATACTAGCTAATGGAAATAACGGCTAACAGATATAGCAGCTAACGGAAACAACGACTAACAGAAATAATGTCTAATGGAAATACCGGCTAACAGAAATACCAGCTAACAGAAATACCGGCTAACAGAAATACCAGCTAACAGAAATTGCAGCTAACGGAAACAACGACTAACACAAATAGTGTCTAATGGAAATACCGGCTAACAGAAAAAGCAGATTAAAGATATAGCAGCTAACGGAGATACCGGCTAACATAAATACCAGCTAATGGATTTAATGGGTAAAGGAAACACTGTCTTTAATGTGTTTGTGACTCACCTGTGAAA